TATACAAAGGCACTAAAACCTCTGAAATGGAGCTCTTGCTGCTCCCTGAGCTTGGTTGTTTGTTTGCAAATGTTTCATTACCAAAGTAGAAGCACGGTGGATCATTAGGTTAGGGTGCTGAGCTGACTACCAAAAGGCTCACATTCAAGACCCAGTTGCTGCAATGGGAGTGGTGAGCTCCAGTCACACGGTTTTTCTCCTGCTGATCCAGCAGTTCGCAAGTGTGTGACTGCAAGTAGATAAATGGGTACCACTTCAGTGGGCAACTTAATGGGGATGTGAAAGGAGCCTCCAACTGGGCATTCTCCAGGGCAATGATATTGTCACCATTCAACCCTTCCAGCCTGGAAGGGCTTTGGAGCTCCCAATATGACTGTAGTAGTAGTAATAGTAGTATTCAACTAGGTGAGTAATGAAATATCTGCAAGCACCCAACCAAGCTTAGCACCAAAAACTTCACAATTGGACATCTGTTGTGATTCCATATTAGATTTACAATTTGCACTTCAGGAAAAGCAAAAATGATGTTTCAGTGTTATTGGGGAAAAATAAGGAAATTTGCAACATTTAGAATATAATAATTCAAATACTTGCAACCTGAAGAGGACATGACATAATAGTAATTGCATTAATTCACAATTACAGATGTCAGAGGAGTATAAAAGCAAAAATGTGGATTTGTCCAAGGGAATGAATGTCTAATAACCGAGAACAATTTGAAGGGAGTATTGGGTTTCTAAAATTCACATCCAGGCCCATTTGCTATGGGCTATTTCGCTAAGTGATATATTAGCAATGATAAACAAGCAGCAACATTATTCTTATGCTTTCAGATAATTAGTTTACCTCTTTGCATTCATTTTCAACCAAATACAAAATTAGAAAAAATAAATCTGGGATTTAAACTATTCCCTTGCGAAAATGATATGGAAGAAATAACAACATTAAAATAGATTAGGGAGCCAAATTCTGTATCAGAAGAGCGCTGAGACTCATTTGATGCTGTTATCCACTTTTGAAAGGAGAAACTGAAATGGTCAAACAGCATTGAAATAAACCGTGGAGTTTATTTGATTATTTATATCCAGCCTTCATTATTTTTATAAATAACCCAAGGCAATGATAATAACGAACACACCTTCCTCCTCTTATTTTCCTCGCAACAGCAACCCTGTAAGTAAGGTTGGGTACAGAGGGTGACTGGTCCAAGGTCACTCAGCTGGCTTTTGTAGCTTTGAACTCAAAGTGTCTTGCTTTGTAACTTGGTATCTTAATCACTAGACTAAACTGGCTCAGTTCAGACTTGCTCAAGGAAACAGGGAAGGAGATCTGACCTTATCTATTCAATTAAATTTACTCTATAAGTCTTCTCAGAGAACATGCAGGAGTGTGTGTGCATGTGCGGACACAAGTGTGCACACACACACACACACACATACACACACATACACACACACACACGAACAAGATAATTCTGTTGTATTCGGGTCTTCTCCC